TTTGAATAACTTTTAATCAATTTTTACTCAAATTTGATTAAATACCTACCTAAATTACATAATTTTGATCATAAAATTATCTAAATTTTGGTCAAAAACTACTCATATTATATATTTTTTTGTCAAGAGTTACCCAAATTTTGTTTAAAAATTATCAAAATTATTTTTTGTCCATATTTATCTATTACGTGACAAGTTTATAATAAAAAATTATTAGCAATCTAGACGTTGTCTATTTAAAGGACCATATAAAAACACTAGTTATTGTCCGTCCCTGAAGGTACAGAGTAATAAAAATTGGTAAACAATAATAGCGAGGGTGGTGGTAGTAGTGGCGATGACGACGATGATGGTGGTAGTGGTGGTGGCGACGACGACAATGATTGTGGTGATGACGTTGGTGATGGCGGCGGTGGTGGTGGCGATGGTGATGGTAGAGGTAGTGATAGGACGATTTCAAATATTATTTTTTTAAAAATCGTTCCAAACACACTCTTAGAGGTCTATTTTTCCTATTAATTTTAGGGTGTTAATATTAGTCATTAAATTAACTTAAAAGTAAAATTTAAAACAATTTCAACCGTGAATAGCAAAAGTCATTTTATTTATCTTTTGAGATTTGAATTGTAAACTATTTTATTATATAGATATACAATATTTAAGGGATTAAAATGATGTAATTGAAACATTTGAGATCAAAATGAGACAAACTTTATATTTTAGGGATCTCTAATACAATTAACCCTAAAATATATCTTATGAGAGTGATTGATCCTTAAAAATATTGGAAGTGAGCTCGGATACAGGGTATTGTAAATTGAGAGGATTTAAAACACACACAATGAAGAATAAAAGTGGGTATAAGAAGTATTTAACCCAAGAATTTTAATAACCTAAAGGTCATAGTCATACTCAACTCAACCACTGAAAGCCTCCCCTAAGTATTCCACTAAACCACCTCTGAAGGTTAAGTACAGTGTTTTGGGACTATCCAAGAGGCTTCAAAAAATGTTGCTAAATTGTTTTACATTTTATTTTTGAAACATTTTTGGCTTTGGAACTAAACATAAAAATGTGCATTTTTAATAATGGAATCCTTGGGGGAGGCTATCCAAGTTTCAATATTTAATAGAACTTACAATCAATTCAATAATTATAATTAATTTGATTGATAAATTAAGAGTGTGTTTGAGATGACTTATCGAATTCAAAAGTACTTCTTAAATAATTACTTTTTGAAAAACATTTTATTAAAAAATACTTTTTCCCATAAGTATCGATTGGATGCTCATTAAAAAAAATACTTAAATAAAAATGATTTTACAAAAATTGTGTTTAGATGGTCAATTAAAAAAGTATTTATTTGTATCACAATTACAAATATGTCTTTCATAATCAAATATATATATATATATATATGTGTGTGTGTGTGTGTGTGTGCATGTATTTTATTAAAAATGTCCATGGTTATCTCATGATACATTTTTATTGGTAATTTATCAAATATTTACATAAATTTACAAAAATGAAAAGGTAACCATGAGATACTAGTGACCATACCCCAGTACTTTCACACTATTCTTCGGTGCTTTAAAACACACAAAAACTAACAACCCCAAGCATAAGAAAAAATCCATAGCACTGTAAGTCATTTTATTGAATAATTTGTGGGCATTCTATCAAACTATCCGGTTTTACTAAAAATTAAATGTGAGAAAGAGCAATGAATTATGGAAGTAAAATTAACAAACGGCTATAGTCTAACAGCTATTATTAATAAAGGAATTTTACTGATAAGTTTAGAGTAACAAATTATTCATGATCAACATATAGAATTCAGATCAGATTGACAATTAAACAAGCTTGTATAGTTGAACATGCAAGCGAGAGAAAATAGTGATGTACTGACTTGAATTTTGGAGCACTCAAGACGTTTTTGCATGTCTTCAAGTCGAACAACATCTTAATATGTGCATTTCCAGATTTGAAGATATCGGTGAAGACAATGAGTCACAAAAGAGATGCAGTGCTTACAACAGCAAAGATTGCAATCAATACAAAATATTTTATTTTCATTCTTTTGAAGATCAATGCGATGAGCACAAGCATCAAAGAACTTATTGTGCAGTAAATTGCTCAGCCACTCTGATTTTCTCTTATTCATCGGTAGGACAGGACCAACTATTCGAGCTCTTCTTCTAATTCTACCTCCACTTCCTCTTCAATTTCTTCGTATTCTCGTCATTGAGTCATGGTTGGCTTCGGAAGCTTTACCTTTACTGGCAGATTGGTGATGGCCGTAGAGGTGATCGGGGAAATAAGGAGAAAACAAGAAGCGGTGAGAAAAGAAAAAGTTAATTATTTTTACTTTTTTTTATTAATTTATTTAAGTGCTAAAATTACTTTTACTTATTTAAAAATATTTTTAATAAGTTAAGTGAAACATTACTTTTAAAAAAAAAAAATTATTTTTCATAAGTTACAAGTCTCAAAAATACTTTTTTATAAGTAGAATCTATCTATAATTGGTGGGGAGCACCAAACAACTCGGGCCAGAGGAATATTACAAACAGCCCTTGTCTACAACCACCTAAAAAACCGAGAGAATGCATGAATTCCTAAGACTAAGACACGTAATACAAATAATAACACTATTACTATATTAGAATTGAAGTTTCTCAGTTGCTGTCTGGACTTTTGGTAGTTGGGACACACACACGAGAGGTTTCTAAAGTGATTTTTCCATTGTCGTGTATTTATTTATTATTTATGCTCTCTTCGTTTTCTCTAGATCTATCTACATATAGTACTTCAAAAAATAGAATAGAACTAGAATGGGCAATTATTAATTCATCACGTATTGTTTGCCTAATTATTGTAAGCCTACTTTGGCTGCCAGCTTGTCAATGCCACTATGTCACAGACAACCCTTTACCTAAACAACTACAATATTACTTTGACCTAATACTCATATGATTTATCGATCTGAGTATTCACATTAATTTAATAATGGGTCTTAATATTTATTAAAATTTATTACTAATTATAATTAATTAAGTTAATAAATCAAGTAAATATTTTAAATATAAAATAGTACTTTCTTTAGCTAAACCAAAAAAAAAGTTATTAGCCTCGTTATTTTGCATAAAACACTAGTCTCTACCAAATATGACCTAAAAACTGCACAACACATTATAGTCTTCGCTAGGATTAATAATCAAGTCGAGCCTGTTAATTCAATTTTTTAAATGAATTTAAAAAATTATTCAAACTCGACCCGTTTAAAAAACAAGTCAAACCTAAAACAACCCAAAAATAAATTAAACCCAAATAACTCAACTATTTCACACAAATAAAAAAAATTAAAATTTATTCAAACTTAAAACAAACCAAACCCAAAACCCAAAAGGAGCCGAGTCTGAATAATCCAACTCCCTAGTCTCAGCTTAAACCCCCTCTTCTCCCCCCCCCCCAAAAAAAAAAAAAAATCTACAAATATTAACACAATACCCAATTTTTGGAAGGGAAAAAAAATATATTTTTGATATCTTAATCCAAATTCTAATAGGACAAAACATTTCGAACTAGAAAACGAACCTGAATTTCAATCTAAATTATGTTACCCGAGTTTTAAAAATCAAAACTTGAACAGTAATCGTATTTTCTTAGTACGATGACTCATTACAAAATGACTTATTTCCTAGAGACGAGGCATTCTTTTGACTAACATTATGTATACAATAATATTTTTTAATTCAAGAACAAGCCCCAAGCAGGATTACTCTCTCTCTCTCTCTCTCTCTCCCCCCCCCCCCCCCCTTTTCTTTCTCTCTCTCTTTAGGCAGAGATTACGCAAATTTGCTGAATTCAGCACCATCATGTTCAAATTGAATTCAATTTTTAAACAAACAATTTGTTCTTTGGGAGTGGGTAGGGGGAAGAGTGATGCATGTCGTCTAAAATATCCATAAAATACATGGCATCTGTCGTTGTGACAGTTATACAACAATAATATATACGTGATATCAAATGATAAACCGAATGACAGTTACTCCCAAATAATCAAATAGGCAATAACTACTACACACGCCAAAAATAACTAACATACATGTGCATACTGGGTTCGCCTGCACGTCATAGAACAAACTCTCACCAACTCCAGAACACCACCCAACTACCACCACCATGATCACCACCATGACCACCATTGATGTCACCCCACGATCATTGCCACCACCGCCACAAACAACCCTACTTTTAATGAAAGAAACATCATAATGACAAATCCAAACTTCACAGGGGCTGTGCAAAACCTATGGTGGACAATGGTACATTGATCTTCTATACCACAAATACAGTTTTTTTTCTTTAAAAGACTTGCTCGTATTGTAAAGAACACTACATATAACATAAATAATGAAAGCAGTAAATTACAACGGAATAAGCCAAAAAAATGTTCCAATATGATCATTGAAAATGCAAATACTCACCAGCAACAGACACTTACATAGCACTAATACCCCGACTTACTTGTAATACAACAGGTAAAACCTAAAACATAATATAGCAACAAAATAGCTACATCATGGTTCTCAGTTCGCAACAAGGCTTTATCAAACAAAATATGAACTTCCTCAGCCACCAGTGGTCCGAGGATAAATACTAAAAATCAGCATACCAACTCACTCGGGGTGTTTCCCCAAGAATCGATGAAATCAGAGAACACACTCCTTACAGCCAAAAATGTTGCCTGAATACAAAATGAAAAACAGGAATGCTCAAACTCCATTCCAGTTTGCACACACAAAAGGCATCAAACTTTGGGTGAATGCAACAACCGACGGTACATGTAAAATACATCAAACATTGGGAGAATACAACCACGGACATAATGCCAACTGCTACCACCATTTACCTTACATGGTATCAACAATCTCAACTTGCTATTCTATCTTTCTAGTATATACAAAGAATATTGTACATTGATTACATATGTATTCTTCCATTAGTACACACAAATCCGATCCAATCCTTACAAACAGGTTTCCAAATTTGGATGTTACGTGTTAATTGTTAAACTCTAAGACGGACGGTGAAACAACTCAAAATCAGCTCGCACATTTCTCAAACTATGCTTCTCACCACCCAAAACTGAAAACTAATCAAGACACGTTACAGAAGTCAATTACAAATCTAACATATCCAATGCACCACTAAAACTGAAAGAAGGAATCAAAGATTTTAGATTTCAATGTAACAACTGAATATATCAGAACCCTTGTTATGATACAAACTAATCCATTTTCAGCAATTTGAACCTTGCATTTAAAGTTACTTCAAAGGGTGAATTCACCACCTTGCCAATCTTTTAGTTAGTCCAGAAACCATTCTGCATGAGAAAAAGGCAAGCAAAAATATTATAATACATGTGGGTGACAGGTGATAGCGATGATATGTCTTCTGATCATGGTGTAAAATCACTAGATGATCAGAGATTCTGAAAGCAAAAGATTCCTCGTGGACCCAAGAAGTCCACAGATTACTCCCTACCGGGAAATAGCAATCGTGTTTAGCTTGTTGCACCAATATTTCACAAAATAACTGATAATAGCAAAAGTTAACACTCATCAGTGGCCGCCTTAAGTCTAGCTATATATGTAATCAAGTTGCCTAGTAATTGGCTCTTGTTTTGAAAAATGAAATACAACTCAGTTATCTCTTCCAGAGTACTAATCTGGAAATAAAGCAATCTAATCAAGGCCAAGGGCCCAATGTTTACAGTAGCAGATGAGCCATCAATAGAACACTGCATGGCCAGATCATTTAAAATGTCCAGTTTCGTAGAATCCTACAATTGTATAACTACATGTATGATGGAGGAGCAATGAACAATAGCACCAAGCACATGGAATCAGGGTGTTAAAATAGGTACAATTTGAGGTCATACACCAGTCATTTTCACTTTTCCACTCAGCAAAAGCTTTCATTGAATACCCAACTTTCTAAAGCTTAGGCAGACACAATTCTCCATCATTGATGAAAAATTCTTGAGAGGTCGTCCGCCCAGAAAGTGGTGTGATGTACATTGGCCATCACCAGTGAGGTGAGGAAATCTAGGGAGGATTATACAAACAAGGACCAGCTAAGAAGTTTCAAAGGCGCCCATATACATAGAGGTACAGCAGGTCGGCATCTGGCAGCTTTTAAATGATCTTGTTTCTTTAGCCTGAACTTTATTGAAAGTTACAATTAATGAAACCAGAATAATCAAATCTAATAAGGGAAGATCATTTTGCATAGCATGGCTTGAGGAGCATATGTCTTTAAATGCTGACAAAACCTGGACAAAAGGCAGTAAAAATTATGGAGAACTTGTTAAGGCCAAGACAAGTTACTGTAATTAAAACCTCCTCACACACTCAAGACCTAGGTTTGATCCTCACCGTCCCCCTCCCCCCAATAGATAATAGGAAAAAAACATGCGTTCTAACCAGAATCCCAAAAAATTGATGAAATCAGAGCTCACTGTACTGTAGAGCTTCCAAGAAGACAGGAACAACCCCATTGATCTTACATCAAATCTCCTTAGATAGTGATTATAGATCCTTTCAAGCTTTCTTCTGGTCCATGTACTGTAAGAACTTGTTCTTCATTTTATCCAATTAACTTCTGGTAGCAATACTCTCCTGGTATTTCAAAGGGAATATTTGAAGGAGACCCAGATATCTTTCTACTGCTTTGGACAAACATATCGCAAGACTTGTCACAGACCCTAATTCAGATACCATTCTTCATACACAGAATGATCACTAAAAACACAACTTCCAGTTATCCTTTTGCAAGAAAAAGAGACATCCTTTACTGAGTTGGTGATCAAATACTGAAATCTCACTTTTCTATCCTAAAAAAGGCCAACTCGTAGAAACCGGTGGTACCATATTTCTTTTCTTCAAGTTGATTTCCTTTGTCCAAAGATGAAAATGGGCTACACACCTAAAAGAAAGTTGTAATGCTACATTTTTCAAATCATCTAATCCTTCAACCCCTCACTGTTGCTCCCTCTGAAAATGAGAAATTACATTCTGTTCATGTATATAAATGTGGAATAAGCATACCATGTCTCTGTATGAAAGTAAATTAATAAAAAATATGTGCTACAATTACCAAGCTACCCAAAACACTTTTCTCCTTTTAAGTTTTTGTTTTCAGCTGAATAGAATAAGTTCAATTCACATTAACACCCAGATCCACATACAAGTACATGTACAGGCAAAAAAGAAACTTGTGTCCAGCCAGCCCCCATCTCGAAAGTAATTGCCTAATTAATGCACCCCACAGCCATAACTCATAAGCATGTAGAAAGCAGAATAAAGATGAATGTGATGGCACGATGTGATCGTCTCTGTACCTCAGATAATTTGACAAAGGTAAGCAATGGGTCTCTCCAAATTCTAAACTGCAACATCTGAGGACAATTCATCATGAAGACCACATGCCACTTTTCAGCCTGCTACCTTGATTGCACCCATCTCATCAATCTTTGAGCTCTTATGCTGCAATATTTAGAACGTAAGAAGAAAATTCAATAAAGTGAGCGAAGGATACAGAGAGAACATATAAGGCAACGTCCATAACACCTATATAACGACCTGACCACTAGATCTGAACAGACAGAGGCAATCCAAAAGAAAAGTAGCAATTGAAAGAATTTGATCGTGTTCATGTTACCTTACTTTTCTTGTGTCTTTGAATGTCATTGACATCTTCATCTCCATCATGCTTTCTTTTCTGAAATCATATAAAAAGAACATATAATTAATTCCGTTGTGAACATAGTGAAGTATAATGACGTTTTGACTAACCCCAAAAAAACATACAATTAAGTTATGCGATATAAAGATTTCATCAGAACTTAGAGGAGAATGTACAAGACATTAAATTTGGATGCAGAACTACAGAGAGAGGCCACGGGCAGAACAGTTAAACCTTACCATAAGCATAATGATTATTTCAACATTCTAAAGAAGAATACTTGAACTGCGCTTAGATTTGTTAAGAACCATTACTACTATTGACAATGCAAGATTTAAACTTTTGGATATTCAAAACTTCTCCATTCTCCTAAAAAATATGTATTTTGTAGAGTAAACCATCTGTAAGAAAATAATGAAATCCACACCTTATCATGATGTTTCTTTGAGTTTTCAGCACTGGGGTCATGATGGCCACTTTTATCCTTCTTTTTCTCCTTATCTTTATCTTTACTCCGATCTTTATGACGATGTCTATGCTTCTTATGCTCTTTATCCTTTTCTCTGTCTTTATCCTTGTGCTTTTTATGCTTTTTCTCCTTGTCCTTAGACTCACTTTTCGATTTCCCAGCTACAGTAGGAATCCCCTTCTCTGACTATCAAAATTCAAACACAATGAGATACAAATAGATCAGTACTTCTCTAACGGCTCAAGGAAGCACATAAAAACAAACAGCTTGGATGAATGAAAAAAAATGCAGGACTCTGTTGATTGTGGAAATCTAAGATACAAAAGAAGAGACCATCATCCAGTACGATCAGCTGAATCATAAAAAATAAAGCAAATGGAAGCTTCAGCCATATATTTCTTACAGGAGGCAGATCAACTGGAGCCGTTTCTCTAAGTTGAAAGGCTTCTCCGAGGACATCTAGGCCAAAGGGCCGTATGCCTGCATTTGTCTCTCTCAAAAAGGGTGTATTCTGAATGAGCTGATCCAATTGCATCCCTTCTCCTTTCCTAATTTCGGCATCTCCAACCACATTGTGAAGATAGTGTGTATCTGAAATCGACAATGGAAGTGACCTCTTGCAGAAGAATTCGTGGTGAGGCAACAACTTGTAGTGATTTATAAGATCCACAGCACCTGTAAGTTCCCTAGGCCCTAATTTCCAAATAAGACCAACTAAATTACAGTTTCAAAACTGAAACCACTTAATAAACATGATATATGGAGAGCATGCCTCAAACACAAATTATTAAAGGTCCCAAGTACATTTCATTTTTCAAAATCTTGACCAAAACACCTTACAGTGCATCTAATTGCCTCAGTGACCAATTAAAAGTACTTTTTCAAAGTAAAAGCCAAGGTAAAGAAAATAAGGATAAGGAAAGAATTGTATAGATCACAATTTGTAACCTTAAGGGCTTCCCAGTAAATTAGAGGTTCACTGCTGACTGCTGGATATATTTTGAAATCCCTGCATTGCCTCTTTTATTATGAATTACCAAATCAATTTTGAAAACTTAAAGTAACAACAACGTGCAATCAGTAATGTAAGATCCTTCTTCACCATTCAGCTCTATCTAACCAGATCAACCTGTGTTTTACTGACTCTTGTCCTTATATTAATTCCAGCCAATAATTACCCAGCCAATTATTTGTGTGTTGTTTTCTGTTTTTGGAGGCTTGGATTGTTTCGGTTATGTTGTAGAATAAACTTCAAGAAGACAAAATTTCCAACACATGCAGTCATCTAGACAAATCTACTTTGCTGTCAGCTCTATCTCACCACCTGAACCATTTTATTTTCTGGTCTCCCGTTGTCCTCAAAACACCTTCAACTGAAATGGAAATCCTCCAGTCTTATTAATGTGTTGACCACTTTGCTTGGGACTGAGTGATTTCAGATAATTGGTCTTCTGCACTTAATATTCGGAAATTTAAGCGGCTTTGAATATTCTCGGGCACGTCCTTTACATTTAACCAAAGGAAACATTGCCCCCAAATTAATTTCATCTTGAAAAAAGCACTATTACAGATGTTCATTCTCAGGCTAATAATTGGGTATCTACACATAAAAATTGAATCTCAAGTTCAGCGTGATTTCTCTTAAGGAAACAAAGTTAATCGAAAGTAATCCTTTCATCACAAAGTTGACTCATGATTCTTGTGCCTCTATGAATGTCGAACTTGTAAATTGCTACAGTAATCCTTACTCAACCTCACTAAAACACAGATAAGATGAGCTTAAGTTATCCACAAGGATTTGATGAAGGAAAGGGCCACATAACCTTAAATTAAAGGATACACAAATGCGTACTTAAGATTGGTTAAAATTAGAAAGCTTAATTTGGTTAAACTAGTGTCCCCAATTGACTTGGTTAAACTAGTGTCCCAAATTGACAAGGTCCAAACAAAAGCACATAGTTGCTAGAATCCATATGCAATACACAAAGACAGAGAAAACAAATATAAAAACCACAGATAAACAATACCTAAAAGGTCTTACCTCTTCCAAACTTCTTGCTTTCAAGATCCATCAATCGGTGTCATGCACAAGGGTAGACCATTATCACCTAAAAGTTCATTTAAGAATAAAAAAGAAAAATATAGAATAGTAAATAGCAATTTTCCTGTTCGTAAATTTTAAGTGGTTACAAAAATACAACTAAGGGGGCTAAGGAATGCATTGCAAGCATACATGCACATGTGTGCATGAGAGACAGCTATAGAGAGGGATAGAGAGAGCTTATACCTGTACTATCCCCTGCCAGGGGTCATAAAGAATTGACAAACTATTTAAAATTCAGCTGTTAAAGAAATTCAATATAGGAATCAATTCTGCATTAATCACAAAAATTTCTATCTACAGTGTTATAATTGTTGAAGGAACCATGGACACTCCTTTTGTTAACTCATCAGTCATTCAGATCTGGTTCGGCCTTTTGTTTAGAGGGTAAATAACCGTTTACTTCCGCAATCTACTTCATTATGTAATTCCATTTTAACGGAAGCAAATGTTTCAGCCCCCAACGGAACAATACAAACAAGTAGTCAAAATAAATTTTAAAGTAAACCGCCAATATAGTGAGATTAAGAATGAAACAATATCACACACAAATCAAATTGACTCTTGCTGCCTTAAAGATAGGAGGACATTTGGCCGGTTTACTATCGGTCTGTGGTCTTAAATCGTCTTGCATGTCACGAGGGATCTGAAACACAGCCAATCTTCTACGTAGGTGCGGAAATTTTACCCGCACATTAAACAACTTCATTTTTCTTTTTCTAAGTTTCTCTCAAAAAACCAAGAAGAACTTGATCTCACAACCGAGAAAAGATTAAGGTCGTTCAATTGCACCAAACAAGAAATCAAAACATGTATACGTCGATACATAGAACATAACGTTTAATTCAAAGATTGCATTTGTGGTGTGCCAGTGAGCCGTGGAGCTTACCTGATCGGACTCAGAGATCCGCACCTTAAATTCGCCTCAGCGAAGTAGGGTAATTCGACTTCTCTCCTCTTAATGGTTCGTATAAAGCTAAGAATCAACTAAAGGTTAGGGCTTAGTTTGCGTATTCAACAGAGGCTTCATCGTCGTCTCTTTCAACTCTCCTAACTGGAATAAACCCTAATTCCTGTTCAGACTTAAAACTACGGTGGCAATTAACAAGCAGCAAAGGAAAAGCCCCGTTTACGCTGAAGTATCACCACTTTAATAATATTTTATAGTTACTGCACTGTTCATGGTAACATGGACTCGGTCTCAATTTTCAACAGTAACATAACCTTGATTGATCTCACAATTTTAAAGGCGTAAATCCCATTTTGCCCATGAAATATATAAGAGTTTTCATTTATTTCACGAATGGTTAATTTTTTTATATTATTCCCTCAAATAAATAAGTCAATCATCTTATTTTCATTTGATCATCCGTCTTTTTTGTGTATAATTGGAATCCACAAGGGAAGTTTATTAGTGGGACATAGACAGCGAGAATCCAAAATACTTTTAAAGACAGACTCAAATTGTAGTCTACACTATACAAATATCAGTGAAAACAGTGCGTATTTCGGTCAATCAAACCTTATTTGTGCTATTTAAATGTGTTTTTTCTTGATTAAATAAAAAGCTGCATGATTTCAAATTTATGTATACAAATTAATCCAAATTATTCATAATGTAATTTATGTAACCATGTAATATAATCTATCATTTTAGTATATAAATTTAATTTATTTAGTGATCATAAAGATATATATATCAATATAAAAAATCATTGTGAATGTTAATAAGGTGAGGCTTCAAACAAACAAATGGAAATTATAATTAATTTTCTTATGGAGTACCATTTTCAATTGTATACAAATTTTTGGTGTTTTTTGTATATTTTAAATCTAACTATATAACTCTTATTTTATTTTTTTACTAAATGATAATTATATAAAGTTCCTTCTAATTTGATAGTACATGCGGCCCTTGTCCCAAACTAACATTTTAACAGTAATCCATTAATATTTCCTAGTTGTAACAACAATACCTATTTTTTGGCTAATTAATAGATGACGCTGATAAATATAAGGTTTTAATTGTCAAACATTGTCCCCTTATTTTTAGTGTGGATAGCATAATCATATTTCCAAATTTAATCTTTTTGAACTAGAAGGCATGCACATATATATACTTTAATTGAGAAAAATGATTATATATAAATAGATACTTTTGAGAAAATGACGATATATATTTCATTAAACAGATATTATTACATCAACATGGATGGAAGATAATAGAAACGAGGGAATTTTCTCCTCTGTCCATAAGTTTGGAATATTACAATTTATACCAAATCTAGCTAAACAACGAGCAACTGCATTTCCTTGCTTGCGAATCCAAGAGACAGAAAAAGAATTTGTTCCAAAAAATTACCCATTTCTGAATGATCCTCTTGCTTATTTTGAACTAATAACCCCTTTGGAATCCCTTTCTAGTGTTATTTTCTGAAAGCCAAGATCATATCTCAACTGGATTGTCACGCCCTCACCCCGGATCACATATGGTGGGTAGTGGACCGACCACCAAGGCCTTAACTAACCAACCCTGTGCATAATAAATGTAAAATATAGCGGAAGACAAATAATAGAGTGATCCTCCACCGACCTAATAAATACCAAAGAAATAAACTAAATATCACCAATATCATTACTAATTACATTTAAAACAACCATTAAACCGTAAGGTTCACTACTCTAAACATAAGTAATATTGTTTCCAAAACAATTAAACATTTGTCTCAAAGCTACAAAAGACATTTATTCCTAAAGACCTACAATAAAATAAATCTTCAAGTCCTCTAATATCTTGTCAATCCATGGACTTAATTCTCACCCTGATCCTCACCTAAAAAATGTTAAATGTTTGTATGAGCACAATGACCCGTGAATAACAATCAACTCTAATGAGATATGAAAATAAATCTCACAGTTTATATACAAAAATAAATTTTGATACATATATAAGTATAACAAATTGTACCCCAACTCTTTCACATAATCATTTAAATAAAATGATCTCATGATCACAAATAACTTTATAAATGAAAAAACATTTATAACCCAAAACACCAGTCATTTTCACAAATAACTTCATAAATGAAAAGACATTTATAACTCAAAACACTACTCGTTTTCACAAATAACTTTATAAATGAAAAGACATTTATAACCTAAAACACTCACACACACATTCAGTTTCAAATACATTTGTTAAATCATGTTTGTTACCACTAATCAGGTAACTGGCCTAGTCTCTTATTACTAGTAGCCTAGTAATTGACCTAATCTCTTGTTATCACTAGTTTGATGACTAGATTAGTCTCTTGTTATCACTAACCTGATAACTGACGTAGTCTCTTGTCATCACTAGCCTGATGACTGGTCCAGTCTCTTGTTACCATTTAGACCGGGTAACTCATTCCCCATCTCATAAACATAATTTTCACACACACCAAAATTGTAGTTTTAGTCCCAACGCACACAAAATTTTTCTTTCATCACCAAAATAATGATATAAAATCATCCCACAAGTTTTTCAAAATTCACATGTATAATAGTTCACAATTTCAAAACATTTAATTGCAATTCAAACATCAACACATATATCATATATATAAAAAATTCACATGCACATACTCACACATTTAATATAGAAAATTCTCTCAAAGAGAAGTAGTAAACTACTCACCTTGATTCCCAAAATCTAATTCAAAGTCCTCTATCTCAACCTCAATGCAATCACCACCTAATCCAAAATAACATATAGCGATCAATCCCTGTTTCTAACTTTGTTATTTCGCGATTCTATATTTAATTTTTATACTTCCTATCCATTAATATATATTTTATATATCATTTACATAAAAATAATATTGTTAATGTGAGCGAATAGTGTATGAAAATAATCTGGATAGTTTATAAGAAGTTCCTAAAGTTTTGGGGTTAAATCATAATTTTTAAAAATTTTGGGGTCAAATTATAATTTTTTGAAAAAGATTGAATTTTCTATTTTCGAGGCTGCCATAATTTTTTTCAGAATAGTATTTAAAGTTCTAGAGAACCATTTTTTGAGAATATAACCTCGATTTGATTTATTAGAGTAATCATTGATTTTTAAACACTTAATTGAAATTTTTAAGGGTCGTTTCAAAATTTTAAAAAAATTTCAAGACTCAGGTCGAGGGCTGTTTTGAAATGACAATATTCATTTCAAACATATTGGGTCAATGCTATAAATTAACAAGTTCTATGGTGGTCAAAATTGAGTTTATAAAAGGATAATGGTCAAAATAAAGCTATTTAAAACTAAAGGAGATATTTTCATAATTTCAAAATTTCCATCTTCTTCAACCTTACGGAATTCCAGAAGCTTTGGTATGTACCTTTTTCTTTCTTCCCCTTTTTCTCAATATCTTCTTAACACAAATACCCACCACATTATCCTTGAATTTATATATTTTAACCCTATAAACCTACTCATATGGATTACTTGCAAGATATATCGGACTACAAACTTGTATATGTGTACATATACTGATTAAATACATATTTTAATTTCAATATGAAGACTAACTTTGATGATCAAATCTTCTAATTTTCTTCTTTCTTCTTTAAATCCCTTCTTTTTTCTTTACTCAAAACCCTAGTCTCTCCTCTCTTTTTTCTTATTCTAACTTATATGTAGGTGTGATTATGAGAAGAGAATATAAACATCTATATATAAGTGGACATCTAGGGCAATAAGGAAACTTATTTTAATCATACTTTTATCCCTTTTTTTTCCACTGGATAGATCTCTTTACAAACCTTCTCACTAAAAGACCATATCAAATATATATATATTTATGAAGGGTTTGATCTATCTAACAATACTACCATATTTAAAACACATGTAAAACAATCCTAATAGGTCTCTCTAAGATAAAACTTTTATTAGAGACACATTAGTTTTTTTTTTAATTATTTTTATCCTTATTTATATATAATTACTTATTGGTAGCCAATGCACCAAAATAAAATAATAATTTTTTATTGGTAATTATTTGGACAACAATGAAACTGCTAAAACTTCCACATTGTTAGAACTTAATTGCCCAAAGATGCTTTTATTAAACCCAGCTAGGAATTGTCCACCATTATTCCGTACAATAACACCCACATCTGAATATCCACAGGAAGCGAAACACAACACCATTGAAATTAATCTTAACATAAAAGCTTTTACCCCCAACCTATGGGGTTTTTCAGAATTATATCCAAAAGAGGGTTCTGTTCAAAGTATTTCTCATACCTAGGTTGTTTTAAAAATGTTAGTTGGAATGATGTTTTTAGACTAAAAGACGTCAGTTGGAGTAACGTTTTTGGGCCAAAAACGTCAGACCAACTGACCTTTTTTGTTTAAATAGTGAGCATCTAAAAGACCTAAAAACGTCAGTTGGATTGACGTTTTAATTGAAAATGTCATTTGTATTGACGTTTTTAGCTTATCTCTTCTTTCCTTCTCTTTTATTTTCCTTCTTCCTCCCATGTCTGAGCCCTAACCTCTTTCAAGTGAGACAAATCAACAGCACCTGTTTCAGCTCCACCGCCTACGAAATCAGCAACAATACTACCAGCCCTAGGCGAAATCTCCACCAACCTTGATTTTGTAACCAACCCACCTCCACCAGAAATCCCCTCCACCACCAGTTGAAACCCACCTCCACCAGCCTTCATTTCAAACTCATCCCTACCTCCATCAGAAATCCCCTCCACCACCAGCTGAAACCCACCTCCATCAGCCTTCATTTCAAACCTATCTCCACCTACACCACATTATCAAATCTCCACTACCATTACCATCCAAAATTAGCTCTTCCACCTATGAAAACCACCACTTTCTAAAACCCACCTCCATCACCCATTATCTAGAAACTCCAATTGGCAAGATCTACACCGCGCAGCTGCTGCTTTTCCAGCACTGCCATCCAGCACTACCCCAAATCTCTTTCGGTAAGTCTCTCAGTCTGTGTGTGTAATACTGAAATTATTTGTAATTATCTGCTATTAGTTATAATTGTGTTATTAGTTGTAATTATCTATTAATTATTAATTTAAATTTAATTTAATGTCAATTTAAATTTTTTGTTAATTTAATTGTATGTTAAATTAAATTCTCTGTTAAAATTAATTTAATGTTAATTTAAATTCTCTGTTAATTTAATTGAAATTAATTGTAATTATATTTGTATTTTGAAAATTTATTTTTTGCCCCATATTTTTTAGAACTTTTGACATATTGCTATGGTGGGCCATAAAATAATGCATCTATACAGTTGTGGGCATGAAAGCGTTTAGCACACATTCGACCACAAACATTACTCTCACGTGACCCATTACCTCATGCAGTATCGGATGTAATAGATGCACATGCGGAGAACGAAGCAGCATATGATCTTGCACCTGCGCCGACACATGATACTGCACCACATGTCCACATAATGACCTGCCTACAGGGTCTCGTGGGTGTAGGTAAGACAATATTTGAGTTGTATGGTTCATTATTCATTACTAGTACGTACTGTCAACTAATGTCATATGTAACTATATTTTTTTTTTTGCTATATAGTTGAGATGTTGCATTTTCTAAACAACACACGTCTACCCATGTTCTGAAACATTATAGAGACCAACTTGATCAGATGCATGATAAGCAAGTATACCAACAATTAGACATATATTTGGTAGTTATTTGTGTTGTTGGTGGGTTATTGGATGTTTACACTGAGTTGGTGAATGAGTTGATTAGTGGATGTTTGTATGGTTGGTGGATGTTTGTGGTATTTTTTGGGTTGTTGTTAGTGTATGTAGGAAATATAATATGCAACAAGTGGTTTTGAAAATTTTTCTGAGGTCATAATAGGATAATGTTGCATAAGTGCCAAAATTATATGCTCCAAATAACAACTGACATGGTGTCAACTACATTTGGTAGGGAGTTAACAGCTACTGAACGATCTAATGTATTGTCTAATGAACAATACCTCTCAGATGAGTATATCTCCGATGAAAATTAATAAATGTAATAAATGTCCAACTTATTAAGCATATAACGTTTATATCTACATCCTATTTACTTTAATCAGTTTCGTGGTTTTATCAGTTTATTCAGTGTCTTGTCATATCTCAACTTTTTCATTGTCACATCTTGTCATTGTCAAATTAGTTTCGAACTTTACAGTGTGATGTCCTATTTATTTTAATCAATATTTTGGTTTTATTAGTCTATTCAGTGTGTTGTCATATCCCAATTTTTTCATTGTCACATCCTGTCATTGTCAAATCAATTTCAAACTTTGCAGTGTGATGTTCTTTCACTATAATTTTAAATTGTCAAACCAAGCATATGTATACTAGCATTCATAATTATGTAAATGTACCACCACCAAACAAGATGCATAGGTGCACATCACATACACAATGCAACCAAACCAATGAAGGTTCTTCTTCACGCAATGACCAAAATAGTTCATCTTTGGCTAACAAATGTAAACGCTCAACTGTTAGATCAACATCGTTGAATAAAGTTCCTTCTATTGGATCATACACTTATTCCAGTGGTGTAACGTGGTATGGACGAGATGGTGCGTTCCGCAATGAGCCCATTGACCTTTATCACCTATTCGGTCAAGCTGAATATGTAATTGTTGGGCTTGCAACTGACTATCCACATCTAGGTGCTCATATCAAACCCATCTAATATGGCGATAGTGATATGACAAACGTTTTGACCTTGAAGTATTTTGTCGTTGACATAGACTTACGGTACCAAAGACACGTTCTACTGATATTTACAATTCACAGAATTCAAACAATCATAACGAGGTCATATCAAGACTTGAACATGAAAAATGATCAAATGCAGTGTCGTCTTGATCGTTTTTCATGCAATTGATTATGCAAAAATAGAACATTTTGATCCTGAATATGTCGAAATTAAAATTTTAAAGGATCCGTTACTTGTTTCCGATCCTGAATTTTTTGATTTCTTTGATTTGGACGATGATGCGTCTGACACTTTTATCTCATCATGTTTATGTGTACTCGATAATCCTTTATGTTGTTTTGAATATCAACCACGTTATTGATAGCCTTTTTTATCCCATCAGATTCACTACAAAAGTATTATGAAATAAATGCTCAATTTTTTGGTTATGAATAACTTATATTTTTACACCGCTTAATAAACATTATTATCAACATGATTAAAATTTTATTTTTATTTTACATATGAATTTAAAATTATATGATAAAATTAAAATTAATTATATGTATACGTTTTCAATTTTTTAATTTTGATATGATCAAAATTTATTTATTTTTAAATGATCAAAATTTATTTACTGAATATAATTAAATTTTTAAATAAATAAAATTAAAAATTTACTCATAAAAAAGATAGGGAGAAAAACAGTTTTAAGTTTTCAGTAAAACATCAGTAGGACCAACGATAATTTATTTATTTTTAAATGATCAAAATTTATTTACTTAATATAAATTTTTTAATAAATAAAATTAAACATTTACTCATAAAAAAGAAAGGGAGAAAAAAAATTTAGGTTTTCAATAAAACGTCAGTAGGACCAACGAAAATTTATGTATTTTTAAATAATCAAATTTTTTTATTGAATATAATTAAATTTTTTAATAAATAAAATTAAACTTTTACTCATAAAAAAGACAGGTAGAAAAATAGTTTTAGATTTTCAATAAAACGTCAGTAGGACCATCGAAATTTATTTACTGAATATAACAAATTTTTTAATAAATAAAATTAAACATTTACTCTAAAAAAAAAGGGATAAAAACAGTTAGGTGTTTTGTAAAAAGTCAATTGGACTTGCGTTTTTAGAAGGCGTCAGCTAAACTGACGTTTCCACTAAAAACGTCAGTCAATTGACTTTTTAGGTGTGTTATATGGATTTTATCTTGTAACAAAAAAGTCAATTAGTCTGATGTTTTTTTTTTTCCAAAACGTTACTCCAATTGACGTCTGTTAGTCTAAAAACGTCATTACAACTGACTTTTTTTAAAACAACATGCGTATGGAAAATACTTTTAAAAGAACCCTCTTTTAGGTATAATTTTGAAAAACCCCATGGGTTGGGGTAAAAGTTCCTTAACATAACCAACTGTTGGAGCCTTCCAATAAACATTATCCATCTGATTAGGTGGAATATGGGTACTTGGATCACAAAATCATATAGAAGTAAAGTGATGGAGATAATCTTTTGAGAATTGAACAACTTCCAAAGGAGTTTTCCAACATCCATCAACTCTGAATTTGTTCCTGTTAAACCAAATGGACTAAGCTAAAACAGTAACTAAAACAACTTGTTCATGCGGCATATTTTCTGAAATGAAAACAAGTCATTCTTGAATAGTTGATACCCTTGATGGTGGAAATTGAAAACCAGCCAACCCCCAAATGACAAAGACATAAGGACACTTTAAAAACAAATGAGAAAATGATTCATAAGAGTTTCAACGCATAACATTCATTTATAACTGAAATTCTTTTCATTTGTAGATTGCATAGGGTGGGTAAAATATCAATAAATAACCTCCAAGCGAAATTCTTAACTTTATTGGGCACCTTCAATGATCAAATAAACATATCTGGCCATCGCTCAACAACTCCGCTTGTTGAACCAGCATTGTGTTTTACTCTTATTAGGTTCTGTTCCATGGCTAGATGATAAGCACTCCGTATCGAGAGATGTCCAATTTTCGTATAGTACCATATTAGACGATCTTCCGGTAAAGTTGCACAAATTAGAATAGCCAAAATGTCTTGAAACTCAAACTCCAAAAAATGCTGCCGAAGTAATTCTACATTCCAACTACTAGTCACATTATCAATAAAATGATTAACACGAGTATCATCAGGAAGTTTTGATAAATAACTAATAGTCTTGAAAGTGAGTGGTCTAGGAACCCACCTATCATGCTTTACCCTTATGCTCCAACCACTCCCAAGTCTCCAGCGTAGACCTGCCTCCATAACACTCCTAGAAGCTAGTATGCTCCTGCAAGAAAAGGATGAATTGTGACCCAATTGAACATCCTTCAACGATGAGCATGAAAAATATTTAGCCTTGAGAACATTGAATAACAGAGAATCAGTATTTTGGAGGAGCCTCCAATATTATTTTGCCAGCAGAAAAACATTGAAAATCTCTGGGCCTATTTGGTTTGCATTTTAAAAAATAGTATCCGAAAATAATTTTTGAGAAGAGTTTTAAGAAAGTGTGTTTTGATGTTTTTTGAGATAAAAAACTTGTTTTATTAGATGATTTCAAAAATAATTTTACAGTAAAGAAAATAGTAAAACCTGTTTGAACAGTCTGAATATATGTTTGAAACAATAATTCAAAAATTAATAAAAAATATAAAAAAGTTGTTTTCAAATTGACAATTTCATAAAAAAAAATTCAATAAACCAAACTTTAAAATAAATCAAACATATTCAATAATCTTTATCAAAAATAAAATCAATATAAAAAAATATGTCAATGACCTTCATCTAAAATAAAACCAAACACATTCAATAGAAAAAATATACAAACACCAATAATTTTTTTTTCAAAAAAAAAAAAGCAAATAACACCAAAGAACACTCACACCATCACACAATACACACACACACACACAATATATATATATATATATATATATATATATACCCATCACACACAAAATATATACATATATACACACACACACACAGAGTTATACAATACACAACACACCCATCACACACAGAGTCTATATACATATATACATGCACACATGCACGCACACACACAGTCACACAATAGCACAAATATGAATCAGATCCGACACCGGAGCAAGCTCATATCAA